CGAAGAATCCATCTGTTCTGTCGTGAATGGTTCTTGCTGATTATCCGTCTTGAGTTTGTATTGTCTTTTTTCTATTCATTCAAGGCATCTATTTGTAGACCTATACTTTAAAAATGTCCATGTAATATGTCTGAATTCAATATATGTAGAACATAATGATTTTTCCTCTTAATTATCTTGTTGACAAGCTTCTTGTTCACTGTCAAGTGCAAACGACTGTATTTATGTCACCAGTAGTTTGCTTACTGTGTTATATAATGGTCTAATAATACTTGATTAGAAGACAATGCATTTTCTGTCGGTCCAAAACTGAACAGCACTTAAAAATATTGAGCAACTGATCACAAACGTATACTTTTATAAGAGAGGATACTTGTACATGAATTAATTGTGCAGAGAAACAATTTCCAATATTTCTTTACAGTATATCGTGTCGGTATGCGATGATATGAAATTAGTTAAGCAGTTTTAATATCTTGATCTCCATGTTATCATATATAATCACTTTAAGTAATAAGGTCATTGGTTTTATCTTCGCTTTCGCCCTTGTAACCAGCTGATTAGGATCATTCTACGTGAGATTTTAGCTTCGGTCTCTAAGGCATACTAGTTTTGTCTTAACTTTATGAACTATTTCAACTTGAAAAATGATAAGTATTATCTTGGTAGGTCATCATTATTGAACCTGAGTAGTTTAGGATGACTATGTAGTACAGATAATTGGCTTGCATACTCATATATATATAATCTATACGATCCGGTGGCTGGCTATTACGAATTTCCATTTCGATTCATTTTTAGTCTCACCATTATTTTCGTAAATGAACCTTATGACAGTTGGAAGAACGGAAATGAACTTAAAAACTGATTACTTGGATGGTGTTCAGGTATACTGATTTGAAACCACGTGAATAATTTATTTGGTGGTGGAATCCCTGCTCATAAAACACAGGAATAGTAGATTCATCGTCTCAGCGTTTCTTTGCTTCAAGTGCTTCTTGTGTGTTAACGTTCTCTTACCATTCGAAACGAAATCGTACTTGTCTAGTGCTTTCACAAAATGATTCACTTGCAGGCATTTCGAACTTTCAGTCTTCAGTAATAAGAATAGTAGGTTGATGAACCTGTATTAATCCTGACACACTGCTTTCCAGTGAAGGTCCAGCTTCTCCTTGAACCCTAAACGCTTCATATTCTTTTTTAAAGTTGCGATTTAACCTTGGAATTCTAATGATTAAATAATATAGTTTAATATTTCTGAGTTGAAATGTCTACACAGTGCGACCTATCATTGTAATATAACGCCCTCAACTTTGTTATGTAAAGCAAGATCAAGTGAATGCCTTTGTGTCACTGTAGCTGGTCTTAGACTATATCACACAGTGTCTGTGATCGTCCTCGGTTAACGTTCGAACCTAACACGGCGGCTCAAAGTGGCACGTAATAACTTTAAAAACTAATGTTGTAAAAAAGTTGAACGAGGAGTATTCAAACGCTTGAGGTTAGTAATGGAGACTATTCAGTAACAAAATTTTGGTTACTATTTGAAAGACTTGAAAGGTTAGAGTTAGTGGTGATTTATGAATATTAATTACTACACTAAAGATGTATTGGTGTTTAATTTTAACTTAGGCTTAGTCATTCAATATTTAGTCGCATGTATAGTATATCCCGCCTAATATTGGCTGGTGTAAGAATACGTTGAAGGGAACTAATGGTGGTCAAAACAAAACATAATATCAGTCCGTGGAGTCATTGACTGTTGGATTGATCTGAGTAGACAGATAAAGACTATCTGGTTAGGGTCCATCTGACTATCGTAACCAATAGTTGGAGGTGTTTGATGATATATCTCAGAAGTGATCTTAAAAAGACAGACCTATTCACTCTTTGTCTTTCGTTACGTCTTCAGTTTTGAAGTTATCTTATGATTTTCTATTCCGAGATTTCATGGGTTCTCGAGTCACAACGTTTATGGCTACTGTTTTCAACCACCATATATACTGTTGCTTTATCCACTACCCTAAGAGTTGTCTTAATAACTTAATCTTTTTGTGCTCGTACGGCGTAAGGATCGATGCACATATGTGCTAGGTCTTAAGTGTATGAGTGATTAACCAATTTATTCAGTAAGCTATTTCAATGGAACATCGAAGTGAATCAAAAGTAGAAAATGATTAATAGGTTGAACTGTTAGTGCATGTACGTAATATGTGAGGTAACTAACCTATCAAACATCTGCAAATTTGTGAACTACGCTGTGATTTCTAGACGGTGTGGGCTTGCAGGATATAAACTATAAAAAAAAAACTATCTGAAAACTGAGTGAACAAATCAAGTAGCCTCACGTGCATAATCAAAAACTAACAAAATATTCTACTTTAATTACTTCCGTATCACGTTTCAAATCTCAAAAAAATAATGCATCATAACATGGTAACTCATCATGACAATCTTTCCATAATTATATACCATACATTGTTAGATTTAAGTTTTATTCGGTTTGTATTTTTATCAACAAGCTTTGTTGTGCTAAAACAAACAGAACACAGATTACAGTTTCTTCTGTTATGGCGAATTTATAGTGCATCTTAGTCTTCTACCATAATAGCTTTATTTTTCTCAAACCCATTTCGGCTTTGACCAAGTACTGACACTATCTTTTACACAGTACGATACGTAAACATATACTTAGTAAATAAATCATACTGGTTATCGTTATTTAGCCTTTAATACATGCCCTACAGTTTAGTAAATGAGTTAGTATATGACATAATTCTCTGCCTTTAATATAATAAAGAGGGAACGAATTGAGCGTTCCTCCTTTATTTGCCAAATGTCAAAATGGGAATTTTCAATTTAATATAATAATAAGTACATACTCTGAAAATAATAATTATAGACTTCATGCCTGTAAACTGGCATGATTAATTACTGTACGGCGATAGTCGTAAGGAACGTGCACCATCCCAGGTCGGTTTACCATACATCATATATCTGACAAATAACACTGATGTACATGTTGTTTTACCCATCTGGAGTAGTGGATCACTGGTCAAGACATTCGACTTTAAGTTACCAGGTTGCAATTTCGAACGCCGCTCTACTTACTTCAATCTAGACTACCGGTCATTGTCACTACCCCTTGTCTTAGAATGTGAATCTCACCTTGCAAGTGAGTTAATATTATCAAAACTCATTTGAAAATCTCAATTGAAACTATTGCTTGATGACATTAACGTATAAGGACAAATCCCTAACATCCAGCATAGCGCCTCTATCTATATTAGTTAGAGGAGATAGAAGAAATATGTCTGGTGTTTGAAACTGCATTTAATTATTGAAACTTGCAGTAACATGGTCGTTAAAGTACATAACTCAAAGCTGATAAATACTTAAAAAAACAATGATAATGGACAAAATGAGTCATATGTTAAAATGGATTTTTAAAAATCAATTAGTGAGAATAAATGAATATAAAAATTGACTTGTAAAATTGGAATCCATACTTAGTACTAACTCATTTCACCGAAAGTTAGGCTAACAAGGTAGTGTTGTTTTTTCTCGCGGTCTTCAAGAAATAGTCTAAATATACACACTAAGTCTATCGATCATTAGTTAATAAATGTAGTTTATTAACCAACTACATGTTTTTGAACTGAGATTTAGTAATACTACCATACTAACCAAATGAAACTGAGTGAGACGATTTTCGAAACAAAGAATAAAACAGATTGAATTCAAGTGCATCACTGTGGTCGATTTCCAATCATTTCCTCTGTTATCTACTACGATAAAATACGATAATTCGGCTCATGACGCCTTGAAATCTGTGTTTGCCGGCACTGCTCAAAATTCGTGAATCGATGCGATGCTTTGGTCGGTTGCTTTGTGTCTTGTCAGATCTATTTCTCTAAACTGATTTCTTGCGACAACGTGGATTGGTGCATGTTATTTTTCTAGGTTTCATATTAATTATAACTGCATACCTTAACTTTTTTTCGGACTTATTTCTATCAGCCAGCATTGTGTCCAGAACAGGAAGTGGCTGAACGAAAGTTGCTCGTGTCCCAGGCTTTAGAACCGATGAAGGTTTATGGTTACACCAGTAAATTTGATGTTTTTACCTGATTTACTATTCGCAGCCCCTCACTACTCATCTTTTTGCGGTTTCATCAAGTGTAATAAATACGTTGTAAGCAGTCGTAATCAAATACTCTCAACCTTAATTTTTCTGGCTTCATGGGCTATGATTAATGTATGTTGTTCAATACAGAGTAAACTGTTACTCACTATACTCGCAATTGATAGGTAGGCAAACATCTCGCATGTGCTAGAAGCAGCACAAATTGGCTATGATTATACGTGCTTCATTGTATCCATACAGAGTTTTCATTCAACAACTCGTCATTGACTAAATGGGCTTCCAAGATAAATCACATAGTCAGTGCTGTCGACCACTCCACTTCCATCCATGAATGTAGACTAGCTCTCAAGCTTCATTTTGTGTTTACAATGATAAAACAACCCTATTTATTTGTTTATTTGAACACATAAATATTAGTATAAAGGGGCACCGAACGCATATGCGCCACATAAATCACTTAATTTGTGTGTGGCCTGTGATACTTTTGATGGATTTTTGTTCTCTGAGCTGGATTGTTTGGTTGTGGATCTTTCATCGATCTTCTGAACGACACTATCAGCACAAATGTCAGGTAGAAACGAAGTGTTCGAATTTCTGTGATACTGCCCAGGTACCTAGAGCCTTCGACCTAAAGTTCTGATCCACAAGGCAATCGAGCAACGTCGAGAGATGCAGTCTCATGGTAGCCAGTGACCAACAATAGATTCATACGCCATTTGTTCCCTCAGGATTATGGAGCCTATGTGCACCATCGGTTTAGAATCAGGGTTTCCTAACTCCCCTACGTGGATCTTCTATATCCACCAACGTGGTCAAAGCGCCTGACATTCGCTTTTCGTCCTCAATTTCGTGAACAACACCCGTGTTACGAGAAGGCAGTGAGTAGGATTTCCCTGGTAGTGGATGTGTACTTGTGGCTATGTGAGAGCATTTCAAGAGGGACAGCTAACTCTCTCCACCCTTTGCCTTACCAGGGCATAAAGCCTTATTATTTGAGGTTTTCAAAAGACTGTACTATGTCATTACTGTCACTGAACCGAACCATGTCATCTGCATACTTCAAGTGAGTGGGCCTCGGTAGGAAATCTTTTTCTCTTACAAGTTAAACATAGGAAACATTTGGTTTCCTCAAACTTCATTTTACTGCATTTAAATTATTTAGTTAACTTTTATACATGCCTTCGTTAAATGCCTTAAATAGTTTTTCGTATAGAGATTTTAAATGTGATTTTTTTTCTTTTTATAAAGAGATAATGTCTGCTTTAAAATTAGAAGATCCCACGGTAGATGTCGGTGATATAGAAAAATACCGTATGGCTTTTTTAATGCAGTTTTTTGTACAACATAAACGAAGATTTCGATTTCCACGTCTTCGCCTACAGGTATTTACTTGAGTATTTTATCCAGATCTTCAATTTTTATGGTTTATCGGTAGTAGATAGTGTGGTTTTTTTATTTTGTGAACTGTTAGTTCTAATTTTCAATTTCTTCCCTTTGTTGTTCAGAGGAAAAATATTCCAATTTATGGTACTATTTCAGGTTTTTATTTTACAACATAGGACTGTGGAATGAGAGGTAATTGTGTAGAGCTCTCATTTATTAGTTCTCCACGACTCCCTAGGTGGGTTTCTATGGATTATGCAAATTGATGTTTTGAGACTTTATCAGACATAGCTAATAATAGAAACTAGTGATTATTCCATCATAATTTCCCATTACTTTCATCGTATAATTTAAATGAAACTTTTAATCTGAGTAATGTATATCATATTTATTTTGTTAGTTAATTTATTCATTCATTTGTTGATTAAATAAATTTCAGTTCCATTTCTACTAAATATCATTCGAGTGTGCATGTGGCATATTTTTTTCCGGCTCCTATTGTTTGAAAATACTTTTGGCTATAAATAAATAAATAATATTAGCTGTCTAACTTTCTATTGTTAATCGAACTGAATAAAGTTCTGAAAACGTTTACTCAATGATAATTTTGCTCTGTCTTGTTTAATTCATTGGCAATACATTAATTAAAAGTTTGTATTCAAGTTAGACACAAGAAAGGAAACACTATTGAGTGTATTTGTATAGTAAGTTAGCTTATTACTTCTTTAATAAATCTTCATATGGTATCAATGCAATAATCTTGGTTTATGATTGTCTTAACTTAAAATCCATCACCTGATATTCAAATAGTATAGCCATTGAGTTTTAACATATTTTCATTCATTAAGATATTGATCACCAGGGAATAGATACTACTCATACCATAGTTCACAATTCTGTACATATTTTCCAATTCACACATCTTGAAAACGTTATTTGAAAGCGGTAGAATTATATGGGTTTGTCATCATAAACTTACTATTTTATCCAGAATTAACTGATTTATGAAGCTGTAATACTTCGAGAATACTGAGATTAAGGTCTTGTAATTAAAATTCGATAAATTTGATATTCGTGAAATCGTTTTCTGTATATATCTATATATTTCATCTAAGAAAAATGCATAGTACGATTGGTGTACAAGTAAGCTAGCAAAATGCTAGGGGAAGTTAAACTAAGACATATCACTTGTTCGTGAAGTCTTTGACAATTGGAGTGAACTTTGCTGATCGGTTCAGACTACCTGGTTAGGTTTCACATATTTACCGTAATGAATGGTTAGCAACGTGTGGTGACATTGCTCAAAATTATCTTTAAGGATGCGAGGGCATTCAATTTTTGTCTTTCCTTAAAAATTGAGTCCCTCAATTTTATAACTTTTATTTTTTATTCTATACCTAATCTTTTCTAATACTACTGATACTGTTACTACTTCGGAATTTGTTTTGATAATTTTATCTCGCTATAGTAATCGGGTGTGACAACTTGAACCAATACACATATGTGTCAAGTTCTATTTTTTTTGCACATAACTGATTAACTAAATCAACTAATTTTTACAAAAGTTTTGCCTGTAAAAGGGATAAGCTTAAAATAGTCGTAACAAATTTTAGCCAATCAGAAAATAGTTATTGTAAATAAATAGTCTATGGATCGAAATAAAGTAAATTCTTACACAGATAAGTCAAAGAAAACAACGACATATCAATTTATCCACATAAATGTAAAATATTCACCTTCTTAAAGTCTTATAAAGATATAAGTTTCCAAATTGTTTCTGATTATGATTTAAGGATAAGATTAATTATGTGTTAGATGCAATCTGTACAGAAAGTATTGAACATTTGCTATATTTTGTTTACGCTATGATGATAGAAAATAGTTTCTAGTTATTATTTTACATATTCTATGCATATTCTATACATATTCTATGACTGACTAAGTCAATCAGTCAGTAACAACGTAGAACTTCGTACGTATGTACATCAGTTCAAGCATTATACAAAGATATGTCAGTTGTGTCATTTTATGTGATTCAAGATAAAAGTGATCGATTGTTTTTAATATCCCTCACTTTCTCAACTTTGATTGACTAACCTCTACACTGTATTTTTATAATTTTATCATTGGCAATAATAATAATAATCTATTCTGTAAATAATTACAAAATTCATGCCGATTTATAAACATGATCAAGTTGATACAGGTAGCAATGTTATGTATAAATGACAAATATATAATTTTTAATTTTTTGAAGTGGTCAATAATTGTTTAGGTAGGGATTATGACGTATTCTTTGAGAACTACTAATTCTTTGTTAGTCAATATGCTGTTGATGTATAAACAGTGTATTTGTGGTCATTTACTGTTCGAAAATTGAGTGATTATAGTCATCTGTAACCGGGTACTATGAAGTTATATTTCCTAACATTGTTCCACTGTCTTGTGGATCAGATCTATAGGTGAAAAGCTCGGTCACTGATTCATTAGGAAAACCATCTGCTTTGGTTTGGCCAACTAGGCAGTTTCTCAGCTCTTACATAAATTTTGTGTGGTGCATGTATATTTTAGTGACCCTTTGTATCAATGTTTGTGTCTAAATAAATAGTGGTCTTGAGTGCTGTTAGAAGTGTGAGGGCGGTTATCACTTCCCGGCTGCCCACACCGTGGAAGGGTTGTTCTGGAGGTACCTAAAAAGGAAATTGGATTAGAGGTGGTCTTAGTGACCTGAGAGCGTGACCGCAGTGCCCAAGGGACAACTGCTTGAGGTCGGTCACACACGACCTTGTTATGGGTAATTTTTGTGTTAGCTCCGTACTTATTGAGACCTTACCGCCGGAGACGGATATCCGTGGGATAAGGCGAGGTGTGCATTTTTAGGGTCGACCTTTTCTAACCCCACCCCTCCTTGTGGGAAGGCAGCATCGCTGTCATGCTGGTTGTCTGAAGGAAACACCTTACTGCTGTCACACCTCTGTACAGTCAGCAGTACGACTTCGCCTTCGGACCTTGGGTTTGTTGCTTTTAGTCTTACCGTTCTTCAACCGACCTGTCTGACATGGTAGGACCTTGAGGAACGGTTGTTCCAGCCAGTATAGCTCGGTTGCTTCATCACGATAGGCAAGCCCGACCACCACGTCAAGGTAGCAACAACGGTCGGGCTTAGTGTAGATATAATGCAAATTATCATGCTCCAGTATCTACAAAGTAAGCTTCTTGATTAATTTACTCACCGAATCTATTTTCAACTTCGTAAAAACATCTAGTCAGTTTCACCTGAGTATTTAGTGACTAAGACATGATCAAAACGCAATTGACAAACTCAATGAACCTCTTCAATGCCATTTAGCAATGACCTGTAAGGTTCCAGGTTGTTTCTTTTTGTTCATACTTCACTAATTCTTGATATTGGAGTTGAACGATATTCACAGTTTGAAATTAATACAATCAATACGAAATACACGTAAACGTTTACATTTCTTAATCTACAAATACTCGACATAGACAAGCAAAGTTACATATTTTATTGCGATTTAAGGCAATCACTATAATATAACAGCAACTATCTATTCAAAAGTACAATTAGTTTCTCATATCCTAGATGGCCTGAAGACAAGTCGCAAAAAAGTGATATTTCTTACAACTAATTTTGACTGTCATATATAAAGAGAAATATAATTTAAATAAGTTGACGACAATAGGAAAAACTAAAACACTAAAATGCATGTTCCAGGTTGTTTTATGATCTACTGTTGGGAATAAATATGATTTCAGTCAGCGAAGTTTACCAGAGACGGCATAAGTGTAAGATATATACAAGTAGGAAAGTTTGATGAATGGTCACGGTAATAATAATGATTAAACATTTATCCTCTAATTCCACTAGTGGAATGGGATATATCTAAAGGTTTACGAAGACGTAAGGCAATTTTCAGATACAATGAACAATTGATGAAAGTGATCTGATTTCACGGACATATTGAGGCATATTACTTCAAAGCCTCAAACATTTTCTGATAAATCGAGAAGATTGAGGATGAGATCGCTTCATTAATGACAAAGAGTTACGGATGCTATCATTAGATGTACTTGGATAGTAGATTGTATCAGTGTATATAGAAGATAGTTTATAAAGTATTTTAAAGAGAAAAAAACGATTAAATTTCATTTCATACCTCACTTCTATAAAGGGTCGAGTTCAAGCTTATTACATATCTAGATATATATAGTCAAATGTATAGTCATTCCCAAGAATACAAAGTGTAAATCACCTCTAAATGAATGCCAACCTTGATTTATCTTCTTATATATGAACACTACTAAATAGTACAATTAACTCTTTCTATTCCCTAAAAATGGAAAAAAGATAGTTCAACTAATTTGTTATGTTTTTTTCTTTTTCAATAACACATTTGTCGATAATTTTTTCGTTAATTTCAATAATCTGTTAATCAATCGTTTTGTTTACCTTCCATATATATCTATATATGTATATTCAAATTGAAAAGGGGGAAAAAAAAGTGATCGGATATTTTTCCAATAGTTGGACACTCTGAGTTCATGCGATTTTTATAATCTACATTTCTGTTAATGTAATACTACTATTACTACTACTACTACTACTACTACTACTACTACCACTACTACTACTACTACTAATAATAATAATGATGATGATAATAATAATAATAATAATAATAATAATGAAAGAACATATCTAAATTGGTTTAATACACGAAAAAAGTAAAAATCAACAAAACTTATCCAAATTCATTTGTTATATGTGAATGCATAGAGCTAGGGGTGGCTAAACCAAAAACATTGCACAAATCTATGAAGTCACTGATAAGTGTACTGAGCCATATTGGCAGGTGTAAACTACCTGTTTGGGATCTATGAGACGATAGCAACCGATATTTAGAGACCTTGAATGACATGGTTCAAAATCGTTTGAAATAACGCAGGTGTTTCCGATTACTACATATACTCTTGTTATGTC